TCAGAAGAACAGGAAAAGGTGTTCACGCGCACATGCACACACAGAGATTGGGAAAAAGAGAGAAAAAAGACAAAACATATCACTGATAATTGGTAAGGGTGATATTGCATAGTTTAATCTGTTGAGTTCAGCCATGGCAGGGCTAGGTTGGGGGGAGGGGAGAAGCAGTACAGTACTAGGCTGCCTGATATTAGTTCTTCACCTCATGCACACCACACACACACACACACACACACACACACAAACAATGCTCCGTAGGCCAGACAACACCAGACAATACAACATGTTTATTTCTGTGTGAATAACTGCACAGATGGACAATGGCGGATAAAACAGGTGTGTGGACCAGGTGTACAGACTTGAGGGTGTAGGCACAAGTATTTTTACAGGCTTAAAACTAGCTCATATGCACACACATACACACAGAGCTAACAGCCATAGGCTTTTCAGCATTTACTAAAAAATCTAAAGTGCAAAACACTCCCATACAATCTGCCCTCAGTCTTCATAAAGACATCTACATGTGGATTTCTTAATTTCCTTTCAGTTTAATTACCTAATTTCACTCAGTTGGAAGCCACTATTGAAATGAAATCCATTGCTGGCGTTGATGCTTTTTGTAATTATGGACTATTTTTTTGTGATTCCTTCATATTTCTGTTTTAGTTTCTACAATGATGTGGTTTCACCTCTAGGGGGAGCCCTCTGTTGCTCTATTGCTTTGAGAGCCAGCTAATTGGTGTGGTTAATTGCACTGTAGCCAGAGACTGCTGCTGGCACTGTGTGTGTGTGTGTCTTTTAGCAGAGTGTGGATGCAGGACTGGAGTGGACTGCTTCTGCTGGATGGGACTTGAGGGATCACCCAGAGATTCTGACAATAGTTTACCCAGGGTGGGCCTGGCGGGGTGGCTGTGCTTTTTAGGAAAGCTGTATATCAACTGCCTGTCAGAAGCATCTCTGTGTTTGTTTGTGTGTGTACTCCCAGTGATACCAGTTTCTTCAGTGTTTTCGTGGAGGCCTCTCCCTCCCTGCTGTTTGCTTAGTGCAGGCTGAGGCAGACAGCTCAGTGTGGGCTTAGGATTCATACACACATAATCACACACACAATACATACTCCAGGCACTCTCATTACTTTCTTTCATCTACTCTTGATTTGGTGTGTTTATGTGTTTCTGTGGTGACATGTTTATTCATGTGTGCATGCATGTGTCTCTTGGTCAGATTTCTGTGTGCATTAATGTATTTTCTAAATATTATGTATGTGCAGGTGCATGTATTTGGTAGTATGTGTGTGCACAGGTGTCCTTTGGATTGTTTTTGTGCCCTTGCACAGCACAGGCCTGGATGATTGTCAGTTCTGTCATGTCTGCCTGGACATTTTTGGTAGTCAGCTCCAGTTTGTTGGAGAGTTGGCTCTATGCCAGTTAATTACTAAAGCAGCTAGTTTTTCTGTCTGCGCTCCTGCATCTGTGTGCAACTATTAGGGTTAAATATAGCTGGAACAAACCAGAAATAGCAGTAAATGGTGAAAATATTACAAAAATGAAGCTGAATAGAACGGTACAATTAGGTTTCAGCTGAATGAAGTGTATAGCCAGAGTGTGTGTGTGTGTGTGTGTGTGTGTTGGTGCAAATCAGGACTTGCCTTTCCTTCATCAGCTGTGTGGTTTGATTTCTCTGTGCCTCTCTGTGGTTTGTGTTTTAAGTAACCTGCTTGGCCAGTAGGACCACAATGGCTACCGGCCAGAGCGGTGCAGCTGTAAGAGGTTCCTCTTTTAACACACATACACACTGTCATGCCTCTCTATAGCTGTAAGGACCCTTATTGACATAATGCATTCCCTAGCCTTAACCCTCACAACTAAATGCTTAACCTCAAACTTGAACTTAACCCTAATCTAAACCTAATTCTTACCTGAAACCTAAAACCAGGAACCTAATTCTAACCTGAAACCTAAAACCAGGACTTAACTCTCAATTCCTTTGAAACTGACAGGAGCAGCTAAAATATCTGAACCTTGTGGTCAGAGAGACCTTCTGAGGGAATGTTCGGTGATCACGCTCTTTCTGCTGTTGCCACCTTCTCAGATGATCATTTTAGAAAGTGCTATTTCTTGTCTTATGGTTATTTGCAGCTGAATTAGAAGTTTCTTGGTCAAGAAAAATATGTCTGCAGCCTTCTGTTACAGCAAATGACAGAGAACTAAAAGATGGAGTGTTATTCATGAGCTGTTTTTCTAAAATTAGGTTTTCACGGGTCATCCTGCTCTGATATAGCAGAGCTCAATACTTGTGTTGCTCTGTCTTACTTTTTGTCCCCTTTTCTTATCACCCCTTCCCTTCATGTCTTTCTGTGTCTCCCTCCGTGGATATCACCCTCTTCTGTCTCATTTTGTCTCTTCTGCCCATTTCATTCCCTCTTCCTTTCTTTCTTCAAGCGTCTTCTCCCAACTTTGCGTATCTCCCTGTCAGTCTCCGCTTTGAGTGTCTCAGCTAGTCTCCTGTACGAGACTCCAAACAGACAAACAGTCATGCAGCTCTCCTATCACAGTGTAATGAGATTGGGAGCACCTAAATTGAAAGAAGCCATTTTCTACAGCTGTCAACTTATTATCGAGGGGGACTGACTTATGCCAGCACCTCTAAAGACAGCAGAAGAGAGAAGGAGGGAGGTGATGGAGGGATGGATGGAGAGGGTTTTGAAGTGGAAGCGGTGCTGAGGGAGATGGTGGATGGGCAGCTCAGGGATGAGCAGTTTTGCATTTTGAATGTTTCCCTTTTCTCCTTTCAGTCTCTCTGTTTGGTATTTCAGTCGGGTCACTAGTGCAGCCTTGAAATGCAAATCGTTATTCACCACGCTCCTCTTAATATTTTAAAAAACACCATGTAACCTTTTTGGACCTGTTTCCTTTGAATGTATGGGGCTGTTTCAGCACCTTTCAATGTGTTTATTCTCCATCCTCATCACTATTTAGATGCAAACAGGAGGTATATTTGTGTCCGAAGGAACGGCTGCCTTTCTATTTTGGCCACGGTTCTGCTGGTGCAGATGTAAAAATTCAAGCATTTAGTTGATGCTTTTATCCACACCAACTCATAATGGTTTACCAGTGTCTAAGTGGTTGTGTGGATGATTTTTGTTTTTTTTTTGGAAAGGACTCTATTTTGCACAATTCTTTATTTGTTTATTGTAAACTGCACAGAGGATCACTGGCACAGCACTGAAGCAAAGTGAAACAAGGTGAGGAATAGTTCTGGTGACGCACCTCCATAGTCGCCATAAAATACTCTAATGGTCATATTCACTGCCAGTAGCAGGTGATGATCTGTAAAAACATATTCTCTTTAGCAGAAGGTGAGCAGCTTGGTCCCAGTGTCACATGAATGGACATGAGTACTGCACGGTTCACATTTTGATGCCCCGCTCACATCCTTTAAATGTCACACGTCCAAAGATGGCTCACGAGGTTATAGCACGAGTTTAGGAGGGTTTGAAGGTTGATTCGACTTTTCACGATCTTTTCATGTGAAAAACCTGCTTTAATTCAGCTTTTGGGGACATTTGGGGACATCATATAGGCCTATAATTTCTTTTGTTTGAGTATTTTGTCAAAATGTCAAACCTAATTTTGCTGTTATTCATAGATGAATATATATACTTGGTTTGTACATTCACGCTGTGTTATAGTGTGTTGTAGTGGCAGATTTTAATAATTACCTCAGCCAACTCGGCTTTTAGTCCCTCGAGTGTGTTGCTTTTTGTCTGTTAATTAGCGGATATCTCAAAAAACATTTTAACAGACTTCTTGGAAATCTGGCAGAAATTTATGCTTCAGAGCCAAAAAGGAATTAGATTTTGCTGCTGCTATTGCAACCATGTGAACATTTGTCTTTTTTTTATATCATGCTTTTGACCATTTTATGCCCGTAAAAACAGATTCTTTGGAATCAAAATGAATCCATGAGTGTAATTTAGCAATTATTTGCTAAACTTTTTTTTAAACAATAAGGTTAATCCAACTATTTATTTATTTATTGTGCCAGATAATTTGTTGTATTTCTTAGGCGTCCTTTATTTAAAGGGGAACTCCACCAAACTTTGTATACAGTAGCTGGGGAGTACTATTTTATATACAAAGTTGTGAAGGTGAGCTAAGTCTGATAAACTGCCTCAGGTGGTGCCACATGAATTTGTGTTAGCTGGGTTTGAAAACTACAAGTTTGAATTTTTTTTTTAAATATGGGGGTGTGGCGATAGACCAGACCTCTGGAGCCCACGCCTCACCTCTGTTTGGGCTAGTGACTGTGGCTACTAGCGTACAGTAACACACCTGAACTTCTGACTGAACTCCAGAAAGACATGATGCACTGTGGGTAATGTAGACATGAAATCTGACAAGGATGAATGCATGAAATTAAAAAAAGACCTTTCTTATTCTGCAGCTTTGATATTGATTCTTTTTTAAATAATAAAAACTGTCCATTTTGAACCAAGGAAATAACTTGGTGGAGTACTCGTGTACCAAATATTGTCCACATCTACTTGGAGAATTCATGCAAAATATCCTACAAAATTAATCAATCAATTAATCAGTTGTACCATTTAGCAAATGCACAAACCAGATCAGTGGCTGCACCATGCACTGTAGCTCTGCATGTATGTGTGTGTCACTGTAGATATGTGCGTCCTATAACTACCGTCTGTACAGCAAAGTGACCTTGATGTCTGCATTC